CATTTTTACGCTTACATTGATTATTAAACATCCAATTACATAGCCTTTCAAAATATGAGGAATATACAATATATGTAAATTAAGTTGCTAATTTAATAAATTTTTCTTTCTTTTTAGTTTTCCATTTCAATAGGATATCAATGAAGTTTCAAATAAAATAGGTATTTTATAGAACTATTTTATTCAATGAAAATATCAATGTACACAAAAATTTGAAATAATTACTTTAAAACTTTGTTTTTGGGACATTTAGTTTTAACAGGAAGAAAAGACAAGACAAAACAAAAGGAAATTTTTAAAAATCCCTAAAAGATTGGTACTTATCTCACTAATTATTGCAATCATAATTTCTAACTACAGCCACTTGAAATTTAAATCCACTAGTATTGCAAGAATTTGTGTATAGTAGTTAGATTAAAGTTATGTATTGAACTTAGTATTCTCTCTTCTTCCACTAATTTTATTTTGTATATTATTTGTGTATAGTTTTTCAATTCTAACTAGAGTTACTCTTTCGGCTAAAGATAATATTATGCCAATGTGAAGTGCTTTTAGAGATTTTTAGATTTGGGAAAACATTTGTCATATGTTTAATTTCATTTTGGAACCATAATCATGCTTATTATTTAAATCCCAAGAGAGTATATTGATCAAAACTTCGAACCTTGGGACTAAAAATATAATGTTAAAACTTTTCACTATTGCTAATTTGAATTTGATCGTTAGTTATTGTAATTTTCTAGTAGTTTTCCTAAATTTGTATAAAATCCATAATTTTGGAGACCAAATTTTTTATGATTGAAACATAATAGACCGGTTTGATAGATTGGCAAAACATTGAAAATCAAAACTGCATTTTTCCCTTTACAAAAATATAGATTGCCCCGTCAAGCACGCATCTCCACTAGTCTTGCCCCACCAAATCCTGACCTCTGGTTAGCCACTGCTATTCATATATAATACTTTTATTTTTTTTTAATTGATGACCATTAAGGCTAAATCTGTGATGCTTCTTCTTTTAATCGGTGGTAGAGAGTATAATTCTTCGATAAAATTTATAGTCTTGAGCTGAACACGAAGGGCTTCTTATGGCAAAAGAAGCATAAAGCAACAAGAAAGTCGGAATTTCTTAAATGCAACATGTTAATGCGGATTAGTTTTGAAATTATGGTGTTCGAGGAAACTGGCTAGTGGTAGCGGTACAACACTTAATTTATTGCCCTAAAAAAAAATTTATTGCCACGACAAATTTCTATTTAGGTAACAATCTCAACTTTTTCAAAATGAATCCAACCTTGGACTAGTGAAGGATGCAGATGCCATTTGAAAGCAATTTACTATGGAGCTAAAATGGGTAATATAAAAACATCACTTGCTATAAAAATTTTATTGGATACAAGATTACAAGGACTACAAATGGGTAATATACAAATACGAATTCAACCTTGTTTGGAGGAGAGATGGATTAGATAATTCGCAAGGATTGAGTGTAAGTAAGAGAGGTATCGAATCCTTATTCTATGAAAAAAAAAGAATAGAAAAGAAAACCCTTAATATCGTTTGTTGCAAATATTGGGCAACCAAATTATTGGGCAACCAAATATATTGGGCAACCAAATGATTGGGCAGCCAATCATTTGACACCAAAAAAATATATGTCTGGAAAAAAAATATTGGGCAACCAAATGATTCACTTTCTCATATGACACCTGAAAACTCTGACCTCCATTTAGGATTGAAATCGCAAGCTGTTTGGCTCTTTCCTACCGACACTGAAAACTTTCACCACAGTTGTGCCATTCTTTATACAACACCAGGCACAAAGACAATAAAAAATCGTAACTTGTAGGCGAAGCTGGTCGATCATTAAATTGTAGGCAAAGCCGTGTGGGCATAATGACTCAACGCGTCCTTAGGTATTAAATGGGGGAAAACCATATCAGCATCTTGGAGGAAAAGTGCAAATGCATACTTCTAAAGATGCACGTTTCCTATAAATATAAATGCCTCTATTTTGAAGGAAAGCGTAATAGATTGACAAATGCATGATGGATGCTTGCTTGTTCCTTTTTTTTTTCACTTTTCTTTTCTAAGTAGGAGAGGGATGAGATTAAAGAGTCACCGTCACTTAGGTGTTAGGAAATTGGTTTAATTTCTTTGTTTTGTGTGGAAATAACTAGTTTCCTAATTGGTTTTAATTACTTGAAGTAGTAGCCAAAAAATATTCTATTCAGTCTAGGATTAGAAGTTATTTCATATTCTATACAAATCTAAGAATTAGAATTAGTTTCCTATTGTTATTTGGATTTTGGCCAAATAATATTCCCTATAAATAGGTGGATTGACATACTACACAAGACACATAAGAGCACACAAGAGGCGACATGTAACTTTATACATGGGGTGAGAGAGGGTTCTTGGGAAATAAAAGATGGTATACAAAGGTTGGACTTGAATTCAAGTTGTATTCTTGTATAGGATTTTTTTCTCATAATAAATAACGGGTTTCTTTTCATGGACGTAAGCTCAATAGTGGAGGCGAACCACGTTAAATATTGTGTATCGTCTATTTTTCATGCTTGTGACTTGTTTATCATTAAATTATTGTATACTTGATATCTCAATAGTTATTTGTTCCGTACTTGGATTCTAACATTAGGCTTAAATCATAACCGAACTAAAATCACACTAGCGGTTTGACGAATTCAAAACTGAAATTGGACTTGTTATACCGGAACGGGGGCCAGAACCTGGACTAAATGTCCCCGTTCGGGTTCATAAAAATATTACAACCAAAGCCAAAACTGCAAGTTCAGAGTCGGTTTGAACCATCCAAATTTATTTAAGCAGAAAACTCAACACTAGCCCCTAGTATTTTGGCCTAGCCTAAAGTCCAAATTTGAAAGCTCAACTAATTGTAAATTGTATAATTGTCTAATCGAGATATTTTTCTTTTTATATTTCAATATCAATGACCAGATCATGCATCCTTTTATTTTATTTAAAACAACCAATTAGTTTTGAGGTATTTTTGCGTCTAATTTGTATGATTTTTTTTCAGCTAATAATATAATCAAAGTCTTATTTTTCTTCCAGATTCATTGCTATATTTTCTCAAATTCAATGGTGAAACAATAAGCATTTAAGTGCAATTAGAAGATCTAGAATGATAACTGCAAGAAACTAGAACCATATCTAGAAAAAGAATCGGAACTAAAATCAAACCAAAACAGTAATCATAACCATCCTTACGAGGCGGGGTTAAGATTCCACCTTTAATGTGTGTATATTATCCTTCATTAGAGGTGTCAAAATGGGTGACTTGGGCGGGTTTGGGTTGGGTAAAATGGGTAATGGGTATAAGTGAGTCAACCCATTTATACCTATTTAATTAGATGGGTATAAATGGGTAAGTCAAAAAATGAATTGGGTAACCCAATTACCCATTTATAACCCATTTATTTTAATTTTTTGTAAACTCATTTAAATTCATTTTTGCAAACTAAGTTATCAATTTATACCGCTCTTTGTACCCATTATTAGTTTTAAATATTTACTTATAATGTTCAATAAGCCTAATTACCAAATTTTTTTCATTTATACTCTATTTCACAAAATTACATATTATTTAATAATTGAATAATAAGAATATAAAAATTTGAACTAAGTACTATAAAAGTTAATATAAAAATTTAATCCAAAAATTTTTAACCCCTAACATTTTTTCCATATATAAATTTAAAATTTCATTTTAGAAAGGTAAGAAAAGAGGCTCAAATTTATCATAAATTGGTAATGCCGAAAAATGAGTAAGTTAACAAACTAAGAGGAAACAAAATAATAAAATAAAACCAACAAATAATAATAATAATGAAACAAAAGTAGTTAACATCATGACAAAATGAAAAATTTGAAAAAAAAATGGGTGGGGGAAAAGAAGAGATTTAGGGGAAGAGAATTTTAAATGGGTTAATTGGGTTTGATGGGTTACCCAATAATACCCATTTAATAAATGGGTATTATTGGGTAACCCATTTATACCCATATACAAAAATTTAAGATACCCATACCCATCTATTCATGGACGGGTATGGGTAAATTTAGTTAAATGGATTGATTTGCCACCTCCATCCTTCATTTACTTGGAGGCAAAATTTTACTAATGTAGTGTCTCCTTATTTGGAAAACATAGCCATATATATGATTACTGTTCGGGTTCATAAAACTACTTCTGCTCTTCTTCAAAATATTCATCTTCGCAAATCGGCTTTACAAGGATGCATACAAGTAACTTTCGTTTGTACTTCAAATTCAGTCAATAGAATTAGGTTAAGGGCATAACTTGACGAATTGTCACTTAAATATCTGTTGGATCAAAAGGACGAGACCATATCTTATATTTTAACATACATAATAAAAGATATTATTGTATCTTGTGATGTAAATAAAATGTTACATAATTCTAATCATGCTTCTCTTGGAACTATTGCAAAGTTTGACGTGTTCTTCTTTGTTTCTTTTCTTCTTATAAAATATTTGACACGTCAATCAAATTGGAAAACATTTAATCTATCCAAGTCGGTGCAGAGTCCAAATCATCAACACTACTTGGACATACTGTTGAATATGAGAGACATGAGCCTTATCATCTCCATAGTCCTCGAAGATCTATTTGCCTTAAAGACATGTAGAAATTAGAACAAATGCTTCTCCGTACATCTTTCTATTGTTTACGCTTTTATGGACTCTCTACCTAGCACGACAACCATCTCTTCAACAGACATCAATCTACACCTGCTACACGGTGGGCCGACTCCGCGACCCTTTCGATGGGAATGTGGCATAGGTTTTCCTATAAATAGACATCAATCTACACCTGCTTCCTCCTCCTTCTCAAAATCAGTCTTCAGTACACAAATTTTCCTTGAGCAAAAATGGGTTCCAAGACACTTCTTTTCTTTTGCATTTCCATGGCTGTAGTTCTAATGATTACCTCAGAGGTGGCTGCCAAGTCAGTTGACGATTGTAAGACATTTATTCTCCAATTCACATTTCATTATTTTTTCTCTTTCTAATTTATATGCGCCATGTTTTAATTCAGTATTTAGGACCACAGCGTTTAACGTTTCAGATAGATTTTTGTTGCCCTTCAAAAAACAAAAATAGATTTTTGTTGTACATGTGAAGTGTCGGAGTGCTAAGAAACATGGCTGAGCTGTGGTTAAAAAGATTGAATACACCTCCACTTTCAGTTACTGGATTCTAAGTGTCAAGCCTTTCCAAACGTGGGAGTTGGGAGTATAGTCGTTTGTGACTGGATTACTCTTCCTGTATTTTTAGAGTAAAACTATATTTTATAATGGTAATGGTGCGTCTCGGTGCATAAAATATGGATTTAAGATTCTCATTTTGAACATACTGTTAACAAATCTTTATATTTATTAACTTTCAGAAACTATGATAAAATAGCTATTAGTTGGTAGTAATTAGCCATTTTAAAGATATCTGTAAAATAATAATTTGACGCATACGTTAAAAGGCAAATTTTCAAAAGGATTACGATGTGTTTTGCAAATATACTCGGTAACCTAAAAGCATGTACACAATTTGGTCCAAACTTTACATTTTCAAAATTGCGATTACAGTAACTAACGCCCATACCCTATTTATCTTTATTGCAGCCAAGACAGTTGAGACAAATGAGGAAGAAGAAGCCAAGTACCATGGAGGATATGGAGATCACCATGGAGGAGGTCATGGAGGGCATCCTGGTGCTGGATACGGGGGCCATCCAGGAGAAGGTAATGGGGATCGCGGTGGCGGCCATGGTGGTCATGGCGGTGGCGGGCATCATGGCGGAGGCGGCCATGGTGGTTATGGACATGGAGGGCATCATGGTGGTGGCGGCCATGGCGGACATCCTGGTGAGGCCGCAGATGCTGAGCCTCAGAACTAATAAAGCCGGCTTCTAGCTAGGTCGTGATTAATCATGAATGCTTAAACAGGCTTGCTATAATAGTATGTACTTTGTAATGTGTGATTCAAATAAGTGTTGGATCAGTGATCATGTAATATGCACTCCATGTGTTTGCTGGCTATCTAGTTCAATATAAGCATATGAGTTTGTGATTTTATGTCTCTTTTTTGAGCACTTTTGAGGTGATAGCACTTTTGAAGTCAATTTTGCAAGTTTTCACCAAAAAATGAGTAGTTTTAGTATTTTAAATTGACAACAAAGTCAACCCTAGTTTTTGGTTGGTTTTATCTGTAAATCAGTAAACCATTATCAGATTGCTCTTTTCTTTTTCTTTCTTTCTTTTGGGTATACTTAAACTAACCAGTGCATATATTTTCAAAAAGACCCTCACTTAGGTATCTGTTTGTCCAATAATTTGTCTAGCCATACATAAAGTGATGTCAAAAGCTACAGAAGATCGCTCACTCTACATATTTTCAACTATGTTTACTTTGTTTTACGACCGCTCACTCTCTCAAACCATAGCACAAATGCCTGAAATCTAATTGACTGAGTATGACAGGTTGAACATTGTGCTATTCTCAAGTATAAAAGAAAGGTAGATTACAATGAATTTCAGCCTCGGATTAACACTTGTCCATGACGATTTTAAAGGGCAAAATAATGGTTCGGGTAAATGACTCCAACAGTACTTCAACTTTAATCAGTGATCCTATTTTGAACTTTAACATTTAGAACTGCGTATTAGGTCCCTTAATTTGAAAGTTTGGTTCTAACTCGTCCCTCCAAGCCAAAATTAAGTATGTTAACCCTTGAGGTTTGATGCAATATTTGTTTTCCTCCTCTAAGTGTGAATATGAGACATATTAGTCTGTAGAATGGAAAATATTATCCGTCTGACGGTTTACATAAACCTAAAAGGAGGACTTGCTCTTACCAAATAACAAGCAAAGTACTAGCTTATTTTATAGGAATTTGCTAACTTTATTAATCATTATTATTATCGTTAGCATCATCAACATTCGATTTAAAGTCTAATAAAATCAAATATGCATGACATTAAACATTAACCCAACAAAAATGAGAAGAGATTTTAAGAAAATAAACAAAACAGAGTTCCTTTCCTTTTATCAATTTAATTTCGTTTGTATATTTAATATTGTAGAGTATATGATAATTTTTATCATACAAAGAAGACAAAAAAGATAAAAGTAAATAATAATTCCTGTATTTTTTTACCTAAAAAAAGCAAACAAAGAAATAAAAGTAAAAAATGTAAGGTTAATTTTTATTTCAATTTTTTGGCATCCTTTTAATGTAAAAATTTGTCATCTTCTCCGTAGTATTGACTCCCAAAAAATATTGTCTTATTTTCCCTAAAATCTTTTTTTGTTCATGTTGAATTAATCTTTGTCTTCGTATATATCACTTTCAGTCATGACTTCAGGCTGAATAATAATGATAACAATATATTAAAGTTAGCAAAATTCTTTAACTATAAGGCAATATTAGGTTTGTTATATTTTCTTAAAGTGAAAATTTTCATTTCTTTTAGTTTGCATAATTTATTGGAAGGATAATACTGTTGTTTTTGGTTAGTCGACTCAGTCAATCATTAGAATGTTTGTGCAAAGGAGGACACTCTGTGGGCAAGACGAGTGCACAGTGCTTTTAGTCAATGTTTTAAAACCCGGACCGTCAATTGAACCGGTGAGGTGAAAGGGTCGAGGTTCAACCGGTCCGACCGGTTGAATCTCGGTTCAATGAATTTTTTTTAAAATAATTTATATAAATATATATGCACAAAATAAGACATGCGATGGACTAATTTAAAACTTTATATGATGAAAAGTTCACTATTTTTGAATAATTTGGATTTTCAAAAATAATTTTTTAAAATTATAAGTTAAAACAAATAAATTTCATCTCAATTTCAATTATATCTACCAAAAATATCAAAATATTTTGAAATTATACAAAATTCAAGTCTATGAGAATTTGACATTGTGAACTTAAATTTTAATTTACGTCTTTGAGATTTAAAGATTGTAATTTAAAAAAGAAAGTTTGGAGTTCGAAAGAAGTAAAGAGAATTGAAAATAGAAATGCAAACTTGATAAGAAACAAAAAATGAGATAAAAGTGAGTGGTTGTGGCATTAAATAATTTGGGTTAAAGAAAAATAATTCTTTTTTAACTTTTTCCAATTTAATGGGCAAAAACAAAATTAAAAGATAGAAAAAAATATCAATAAATTAAAACTAATGAGGTTTGATTAAAAATGGAGTGACAAAAGAAAAGATGAGAGAGAAAGAAAGAGTTGAAGATTAAAAGAAAAGAATCATGAGAGGATGAGATTTTGTAAGAAAAATGGAAAAATGAAATATAGATATTTGTTTTATATAAATAAGTTATCAAAAAAAGCAAATAAGATGTAATGGTGCAATGGTTACTACATTGGTCTTCTATGGCAAAGGTTTTGAGTTGAGTTCGAATCTTGATAGAAGCATTTTGCAAAAAGTATTTAAAAAAAAAAAAGAAAGAGGAAAACTCAAAAACCGGTTCAATCCGGTTAAACACGGTTCACCGGTTTTCACGGTTTTTACCGGGTTTGACCGGTTCTCTGGCAAAGTCAACAAAAGCATTGAACCGGACCGGTGCCATGGCCGGTTCGCGGTTCAACCGGTCGAACCAGCAGATCCGGTCCGGTTTTCAAAACATTGCTTTTAGTGTCCTCAAACTAATTCATTTTAAAAAATAATAATTCATTTTAACCAATTTAATCCTCAAACTAATTTTTCACTTTCAATCATAGGTATGAACTCCATTTCCCTTGGCAATGTGTTATTTTTATAAATTTAGTCCCGTATGAAAATGATGCTCAACCTCATGAAATGTGTAAAATGTAGTGTAATATTTCCCCCAATAAATAATTCCTTGAACTTGATCAATTATCCAAGTGTCCTTGGAATTCAGCCATTGAATTGATTGTAGGACACTGACACTTGCCCAAGTTTAGTTTTCCCACTAAAAAACGCACAACAATTTTTACACATTATAGCAAACAGAAGAGAAGGTCACCGTCAAAATGTGAAAAAAAAATTAAACTTTGAAACTTTATTCTAATAATTATTACCATAACAATAAATTCCAAAAAAAAAAAGAAAGAAAATTTCCAAAAATGTACAGCAAAAACTGGACTTTGTGAACGCCAATATCCAACCCATTTTTGAGGGGACGAGTCTAAATGATGTGCTATTGCTTAGTTGAGTTTGGAGAAGAAAAAGATAAAAAAAGGGCGCTGGTGACTCAATATCTCACCCGGCTGAATCGTTCATTCGACTCTGAGGAGGTGCCGGCCGAAGAAAGGCATTCTGAGCTGAAGGAATAAGAGAAAGTTGGGGGCATTAATCTGGGGATGGTGAGAAGAAGTCTACAACAAAGTGTTCTTGAGAGTGAAGACACCATTGATGTAGAAGAAGAGAAATAATCTGATAAAATTTGAGGGAAATTGAAATGAAATGTTGCTTTTGAATTCAAGAAGAGTAGATAGATCTGCGGTGAGATTTTGAGGTGGTATAATTGTTTAGTGAAGCATAAAATAATTTGCCATCAATAAAGAAGCAAAAAGGATATGAATTTTCACCATTTTGGTACAATATGAACACTAAATCTGTTGATTGTAGAAGTTTAGTCCCGTGTGACAATTGTGCCCAATCATGCCCCCGTCCGGCCATGCGGAATACGTAAATGTGGTGGCACAGCTGCAAAAGTCCCACATTGAAAGTGAAAAATTAGTTTGAAGACTAAATTAATTAAAATAAACCATGAAGAATGAAATTGATTTTAGTGAAAAGTTTGGGGATCAAAATGGTGAAATTTCCTTTTAATTTTTTACACCACAATCCTATTTTTTTTTTTTTTTTGTAAACTAGAGATTTTGGATTTTAAACTTCCTATTTACACTCCTACTTTGCCTCCCAACTCAACCCTCCTCTCCCCCTCCCCCCACCACAATCCTACTTTTTTGCATCCTATCTAAATTTATTTACACTTATTTAAACCTCAAGAGCTAGCAAGTTGGTTTGGACTGGAACCTATCCAAATATATATCTTTACTTACAAGTTTTTTTTTTTTAACAAACATATTAGAGTTAAACTTTACTCACAAGTTTTTTGGAAAAAAACTTAGAGTGCCCCCTTAAGCATGCGTCTCCGCTAGTCTTGCTTCCCTAAATTTAACCTCTGGGTCCGCCAATGGCAATGTAGAATTAAAGAAAATTCCATAAAAAATCTATAGGAAATAAATTTCATAAAATCAATGTATATAGAAGGCAATTTACACACATAAGAGTACGCGTAGAAGAAGAGGATTAATACTAATAATAATATATTAATTGCACACTATAATAACAAGCCTATTGAATTTCACACTTTTCAACTGATGACAATAACAAGATTTCCTATTTATAGACTAGATGTTTTGGTAAATAAGTTTTGACAACCATAAAGAATTACCTAATTATAAAATACCAAATCCTATATAATAAAACTACTATAATTTGACTCTAATAAATTACTAAATACTTACCTTAACTAAAATACTTCTGCTAAATTAGAAACTTCTATTTTTTAGGTTTGATTTAATATGCCCAACAAGCTATTCACAAATAGTACTTTGATTGAACTTATGGCTACCGTTGTTTCTTGTTTAGACTTAAAACCGAAACTTTTCATGAACCCAACAGCTTTGAACCGAAACTTTGATTGAACCCAACAGCTTTGACTTGCAGCTAGGGTCGAAACCGCAAACTCCTTCATAAAGACACTGACAGCTTTTATGCCGACGCGAGGTAGGGAGACAAAATAAAGTCGTTCCGAATAGGCCAAGCAGGTCCGTCTATCATTAAGTTCGGCTGGCATCCTAGCTGTGTGGGTAAAATGAGTCAATCGTGTCCTGAGGTATTGTACGGCGGAAAGCCCATCTTAGCGTTATGGCAGTGCATCAAAGAGCGAGTACATGCTTCAAAAGATGCTTATTTTCTGGTAAACGTCTCTTTGACCAAAACATAATGATTCACTCATTGTTGTTGAGCCAAGTGACAATGAACTCGATACCGATTAAGGTCTTGTTTTTTTTTTATTGCTTTAGATTTTAC